TAAGTGAAAAATGCATCATAGTGAGGTCGTGTGTATTGTATGTACAAATGTACATATTTGTATGTAAACCGTTATGTATGTGTGTGTGTGTGTGTGTACATTCTTGCGTTTTGCCTGTGCGTGTGTGTGTGTGTGTGTGTGTGTGTGCTTATGCAAGTACATGTGTGTACGAGTATATGTGTGTGCCTTTCTATCTCAGCAGTAGTTTTAGGCCGACATTTTGATCGCTTGATGCCCAGACATATTTGGGATTTGAGACGTAAAATCAGTTTTAGGACTCTCATGGCCTCGATAGAGCTTATATTTAATTCTCATGAGTATTGTCACATCCTTCAGATCTGCTTTGGCAGGTATTTAACCAGAATTTTGTTGACACAGTTCGCCGGAGAAGCAAACTCATTTTGTTTTTTGGTTTTTTTGTATTCTAAGGTAAAAATTACATGCATCCTTTCGCAAAAATTTGAAGTATACCACCGTTGCGGTGCCCTCTTTTGCAACCACACTGGATGGTGGCCAAGCTGGGCTTCCGGTGTTTGATTTTAGCCAGCCATGTGGAAGCCAGAAGCTTGTAATCAATTTTCAAACCAGGCGCGTGTGTTACATGTGAAGTATTACATGTGGTATCGCTTTACAGGCAGTGTAACAGGGTTTTGCGCATTTCTGAGCAAAATACGTGTGCTGGGATGTGATGCACTGTGTAGCTGTGCGTACGAAGAACTTATCGCAAAAGCATTCCGTGCTAGCCTGGCCAGTGCTGCTTTTAAACCTTTTTGCAGAAAATCTCTTTTTCTTTCAGTGGTTTTTATTATTCCCTTTTAAGACATTTATTTCTGATTATTTCCTTTTGTTTCGATTTTGGCTCAGATTGATAGCAGTTGATGTGTGACACACGAGGAAGCACTGGTACAACTGGAATTGACACGATCACTGTTTTGTGCTGAGCAATGATGATCACTGTTGCAGGTCTTGTGGGGCATTTTGTATCGTGCGATTATTTTAATCAGTTCCTAGATAGAGGATGGAGCCGGTAATTAACAATAATTGGCTAGCAAAAGTGACTTAGTTTGCCAGTCGGGGAAGGCACGCTTTACCATAGGGCAAAAACGAGCCGCTAAGTTGAGCAGCGCTAATTCCCTGTTCATATACCTCTGAACTTTAGAAATGAACTGGCTTTAAAAAAGTGGAGTTTTTTTGGGAGTAAGAAGAGCGAAGGAAAGAAGGAGGGAACAAAATTTTGGGCGCGCCCTCGTCCCGGACCCATGCTCGTTGTTGGGTAGCCTGAGTGAGAATTTATGTAAATTCATAAAAATTTTGCTTTTTCCTCAACAGACTCAAAATTCATATATAAAGGTCTATTAGGTGGAGGCAGTCACATGGCCAGGCACCCTTTCTCGAATCAAACGATTTGTGAGGACTGTTTTGAATTCAATATTTCCCGTGTGTTGGGATGTCAAATAGGGAATAGTCACTTTTGCTTTTCAGCATATTCGTATCTTTATCATATTTATTCAAAAATAAGCCACTTTGCAAATTTCAGGAATTTGGGGACATAAGCTTTCGGTGTCCGCTTATAATCAGTTACTTGATAGAGGCATGAGAAGGTAACATCATTTTATACTTTAACTAATGTCATACATCTGATGAGCGATGTTTTTGCAGATCTGGTCGATTTCTCTACAAACCGTTGATCGCCACAACATGCTGCCCGCAGTACACAATTCGGTGAATACTTTCATCACTTTTTCCAGCTGTTTAAGGCAAAGACGAGATTCCAAATTAAGTGCGCAATCTATGCCAGTGGCGATTACAGTCCTGATTTGGCACCTTCCAAAGAATATTTATGACTTAAAGTGTCGCCTTTTTACTTAGAGCCTCCTTATTTTCGTCTTTGTCTCGTTAGCATAAGATTTTCTTA